TATAACATTACAGGAGGACCTGGATAAAATAGGGGAGTGGGCATTAATGTGGCAGATGAGGTTTAATGTCGATAAATGCAAAGTAATGCACTTTGGAATTAAAAATAAACAAATGGGTTATACAATTATGGGTATGCCGCTGGGGAAGTCAGAAATGGAGAAGGATTTGGGGGTCATTGTAGACCACAAACTGAAAGGTAGTTTCCAGTGCCAGGCTGCTGTAAACAAAGCTAGCAGGGTCTTGTCCTGTATTAAAAAGGGGATGTATTGCAGGGACAAGTCTATAATGTTGCCACTTTATAGATCATTGGTTCGACCTCATCTGGAGTACGCGGTCCAGTTCTGGTCACCAGTACTAAGAAAAGATGTCCTTGAGTTGGAAAAAGTCCAGCGAAGGGCAACCAAACTAATTAGGGGTATGGAGGACCAGAGCTACGAGACGAGGCTACTAAATTTAAACATGTTCACATTGGAGGTGAGGAGATTAAGGGGGGATATGATTTCCATGTACAAAATGTTTAATGGTGGTAGCAACATTAGCGATAAACTGTTTAAAATTAACTCCGTTACAAAAACTAGAGGCCATCACCTAAAATTGGTGGAAAAAAAATTCCAGCACAAGGGGCGAAAGGGGTTCTTCACAGTAAGATCAGTTAGGGTCTGGAACTCACTGCCACAGGCGGTGATTTCAGCAAATAATGTGGAATTGTTCAAGAAACTTTTGGACGATTTCTTAAGGGACCGTAATATACAGGGGTACGGGTACTCCTAGAATGAGATCCTAATAGGTTGGACTTGATGGACTAATGTCTTTATTCAACCTCAAATACTATGTAACTATGTAACTACAGGAGTGTGTCCAAAATCTTGCTTCTCAGGGTGTAATTGTCCCAGTTCCAGAGGATCAAATATTTCAGGGGTTCTAATCCCATATATTTCTTGTTTTCAAGCCAGGGGGGTAAGTTCAGATTAATACTGAACCTAAAGAAATTGAACATATATCTTCTGTTCAGGAAGTTCAGAATGGAGAGCATATATTCGGTCTCAGAGATCTCGCAAAAGGACGTCTTCATGGTCACATTCGTGTCACACGTTCCAATTTTGTCAGAACACCAGAAGTACCTAAGATTTGCTTATCAACAATGGGGGGAGGGGGGAAGGTTCTCCATTTTCAGCTCAGAGTCCTGCCCTTTGGACTCTCAGCAGCTCCAAGAATCTTTACGAAAATTCTTGCAGAGGTTTTATCCTACCTCCACGTTCAAAGGATTTCCCTGATTCCATATTTAGACGACATCGTCCTGTTCGCCCAGTCAGAGAAGGAAGTTTTGCTGAACTTGAGGATAGTCAGGGAGACGCTCGAGAGTCTGAGTTGGCTGATCAATCTGGAAAAATCCTCATTTCGTCCCAATACAGAACATTTTTGCGGTTTCAGATCGATTCTTTGAACCAAAAACTGTTTCTCCCAGAAGAAAGTGACAAGTATATTGAACCTAGTTCAGGACTCTTTGATGGCAGATCTCCTATCCCAAATTATGAGAATCCTAGGAGTCATGACTTCAGCTATTCCAGCAGTAACTTGAGCTCAGTTTAATTAGAGGCCCCTTCAGTCTTTTCTTCTGTCCCATTGGGATTGTTAGAAAGAATCTTTGGAAAAACAGGTCTCTTTACCTATAGATTTACGTAAATCCCTAAGTTGGTGGTTGAATCCACTGCCATTGTCGAAGGGCAGGCGTTGGAATCAGCAGACCCCCATAAAAGTCACTACGGATGCAAGCTCAAGGGGGTGGGGAGCTCATTCTCCAGGGTTGCAGACTCAGGGGTCTTGAGCCCCGGAGCTTATGAATGCATCCTCCAACCTAAAGGAGGAGTTAGCAGTGAAGCAGGCCATATTAGCTTTTCAGCACAAGTTGGAGGGGCAGGAAATGCTAATCTTTTCAGACAATGATACGACAGTAGCATATCTAAACTATCGAGGGAGTACCAGGTCTCCCAGTCTTCAAGTAACTGTACAGTTCCTTCTGTGGGCATTTCCTCTCCATCTCTGCAGTCCACATAAAGGGGACATCCAACAGGGTAGCAGAGTCAAGCACATATTTCCCAAGGGGAATGGAGATTCCCCCCCCCCAAATTGTCGACCGTGGGGGTATTCCTGTAGTCGACTTATTTGCAACAAGAAAAAAAACAGGAAAGTGATTCACTTCTTCTCTCTTTCAAGAGAGAGGGATTCCAGTGGGGTGGATGCCCTGTCCCAAGACTGGGAATTCTCCCTAGGCTATGTCTTTCCTCCTCTCTTTCTTCTCCCTCGAGTAATTCAGAAATTAACTCGGTCGGTTTGCAAACTCATTTTGATTGCTTCATGGTAGCCCAAAAGAATGTGGTTCCCAGAACTACAAAGGAAATCAATTCAGCCTCCATGGATTTTGCCCCTCAGACCGGAACTTCTGGTTCAAGGCCCAGTTTGGCATTATGATCCAAAGTTTTTTCATTTGCCGGCATGGGTATTGAAAGGAGGATCCAAGAAAGCAAAGGCTGTTCTCAAAAGGTTGTTTACACCCTGCTATCCAGTAGGGAAGCTAGTAACAAAGATTTACAACAAGGTTTGGAAAGTGTTTTCCTCATGCATGCTGCATTCAGAAGCAGATTTCTAGTCTGTCAGTTCTAGTCATTCTGGATTTCCTTCAAGATGGTGTGGAAAATAAATTAGTACCTTTTTTTTTTTTTTTTTACAGTTTTTTTTAGGTACAAATTTCCGCTCTGTCTTTCTGAACAATAAATTAGCAGAGGATACATTAATCAAATGTTTTTTTTTCTGGCCACCGAACGCATTACGCCTTTGTTGAAACAATTTTTTCCTCCTTGAGATTTGTCTTTAGTACTTGTCTAACTAAACATCCCTTTTGAACCCATTGAAGAGTTGACTATTAAATGTTTATCCTTAAAAATGGCTTTTTTGTTAGCTGTGACTTCAGACAGAAGAGTGGGTGATTTCTCTTCATTGTCTATTAAGGAGCCTTATCTTACTGTGTTACCAGACAGGATTGTACCAAGACCGGATCCATTATATCTGCCTAAGCTAGCCACTATGTTTTATAGATCCCAATACAACGTTTTACTGTCTTTTTGTGAAAATCCCAAGACTCCTGGTGAGGAAAGATTTCATAGTCTGGATGTCAAAAGATGTCTTCTACATTACATAGAGGTTACTAAGGATTTTAGAAAATCCAGTCAATTATTTGTCCTTTTTAGTGGTTGCAAGAAAGGTAGCATGGCTTCAAAAGCTACCATTGCTAGATGGATTAGGCAAGCCATAGCTACAGTATACAGGAAGGAGGATATGAGTATCCCAACTCCCTTGAAAGCCCATTCTACTAGATCTCTGGCAACTTCCTGGGCAGAAAAGGCCGGTGCATCAGTAGATCAGATCTGCAGGGCTGCTGCTTGGTCGAATCAGGACACCTTTGTTAAACATTACAGGGTGGAAGTTCTATCTCAACAATATTTAGCCTTCGGCGAAAATGTCCTGCAAGCAGTGGTCCTACCCTAAGGTAGGATTGTGTTTTCTTGCTTATCTCTCAGGTTGCTGTCCTGGAAGATGATTGGAGAAATCTACAGTTAGTCTTATCGTTAACGACATTTCTACGAATCTTCCAGGACAGCAGGCCTACTTCTCACCCTTACTAGACTTATGTTGTCTAGTTTTCTTCCCCTCGTGCACTGGTGGAGATATTCTACTTTAATCTCAACTGAGGGACGAGGAGGGTAGGAGGGGTTCCTAACTTGTCTGATTGTGTTTCCTGTAGACTGAAGAGCCAATCATCTCTCAGGTTGCTGTCCTGGATGATTCGTAGAAATACCGTTACAGGTAGGACTAACTGTAGATTTTTTTTTTGTGTGCACTGATACTGTGCTTTTATTCATTTAATTGTATATTTTTATCCGTTTAATATTGATTTGGCAAACATTTGCGCAATTATCGCAGGACCTACAAAATTAGTAGCACCATCTTTTTATTCTCCCGGGCCTGTGCTTTCAGAGAAAAAATATTTAACAAATGCTAGCAACACAGCAGTAGAAAATCAAAACAATGGGAACAATTGCAAAAATGGTGTGGCCAGCTGAGGTAAAAAGCATTCTGGAGGGCTTGGCTAATGAAATGAGTATTTCCTTGTTCATTCATGAGTGCCATGTTGTAGAAAAGAGATTGAGGACTCAGTGTCCATAATTTCTTTCTTTATCTCAAAGGGGAAATACCAGTTGGCATGTGTTATTGTCTTTTTCTCTTTTTTAGAAACTTTTTAAAAATGACATTCATTCAACTCAATTCAAGGTAACGTCCTGTGCTGCGTTGTGATAAAATGTATGGTTTTCCCAGTTTTTTTGGCTAAAATTAGGTACCTCGGCTTATATTCGGGACGGCTTATACTCGAGTATATACGGTAATTTTATTGCAATGAACACCAGCATAGCGCACATACTGCACTGTGGATCAGGCATTACCACAACGCATAAATGTGTAGCCACTTAATATATTGTATTTGTTAATAACATTGATTTGACATGTTTGTGACTTGCAATCCAATGCTGCCTTTCCAACCAAGATGGACATTTATGTTATAGGTTGAGTTTTGCTTTATAATGACTATAAATCAAATTTAAAGTTTTTAAACGGACACCTGTAAATACATGTGAAGTTATAAAACTGACAAGGTAGCTAATAATACATTGCTCTAATGGTAGGAGTACCATAGTGTGCAAATTTCAGGAGTGTATTTTAAAACAGAATTTTGGGAAAATGGCCACGTACAGTATCCAGGCTACAGATTTTTATACTGGTTTAGGTCTACAACTTTGTAACCTGCTTATGAGATAGTGAATATATTTGAATGTATTATTGTATTTTGTTTAATTTATTTGCATGTTTAAATGACTGAGTTTTATAGAGAAATAACCTACTGTATATTCTGCTTTTAATGCGATATAATACAAATAAAATATTACAGGGAATGTCTTATCTGCACTCCAGTAAAACTGAAGTCCATGGTCACCTAAAGTCAACAAACTGTGTTGTAGACAGTCGTATGGTGGTGAAAATCACAGACTTTCTTGGAAACTCCATTCTATGTCCTAAAAAAGGTAAAAACATCTCAATAATTATTTATAGCCTTATAACTGCAACCATTTATAGGCCTAAGTAGAGTTGCAAAAGGTTGGAACCTCTCTTGTATTTTTATTGCTTTCACCCTGACAACACAGGTGGCAAAAAACAGCAGTTCTAATTGTTCTTTTTTTGTATTAAAAATAGTGTATTTATCTCTTCATTGGAGAGATGTTTCCCTTCTTTCAAAACTTAGTGAGAAATTACATGTGCAGCAATGGAAGCCCTATAAAGGTTATAGTCCATCCCTACTCGATTCAACACTTAAAAAAATGTTTGGACTAGAGTTGGGCTGCTTTTTTTTTTAAGTGAGCCTGTCACATTCACCAAAGTGTAAAAACTAACATTACTGGTAATTGGTAGGGTTTTAGGCCCAGGTTTTTTTTATAGGGCCACAACCTGTCTGCAAGTTGTGATAAAGGCTCATCCTCTGTCAGATGTATATGTATGATACTAGGAAAATGTTTACCACAAGAAGGAGGGAAAGTTGACGAATAAGTGCACTGAAAGTGCATATAGCATTTAGGAAGTATTACCAACAGTTATCTTCTTTACCATACCTTTTTCAGATTTGTGGATGTGCCCTGAACACCTGCGTCAAGATGGAGTTTCTCAGAAAGGTGATGTCTACAGCTATGGGATCATAGCACAAGAAATAGTCTTACGGAAAGATGCATTCTATACAGAACAATGCTACGACACTAAAGGTAGAATAAAATGTCCAAATGCTAATAACGTGGCAGTTTGTGTGGTATAATGTCAGCAAGTTACACTACATGAAGTCAAAGCAATGATAGATAAATACATTTTTCTAAATCCTGATTTTGTACGTTGGTGAAGATCAACCGTAGACTTGTGGTAAATATAATTTACTGCCTGCTGTAGACACAGTACAAACATTTATATTTGATGGTGAATACACAATAGCTAGTCCTACATTAATTTATTTGGCTCTATATTATTTCTGGAATAGTATCATTGATCAATAATGTTCTATACTAAGTAACTTTTTAACTGCAGACTGTCTAGCCTTGGATAAGGTTTAAAACGTGGCTCCCTTTTTTAAGGGAAGAATTAAACATTGGCAAGATCCTTTTTTTATGCTTATATCTGCACTTATAAATTGTTGTAATAATAGATACGAATGTAACATTTACACTGTATAAATAATGGTACAGCCAAGTAAAAAATTTTGAAATATGCATGCAACAGTGATGGTATATTTTCTAAGACATAACATTTATATTAGGGATGCACCGATGCAGTTTCTTGGTTCTCACCGATGCCAAATACTGATACCTGCATCCCTGGGCCCAGATTAGAAGGATTTCTATCGAAAGAATACCAGCTTCACTTCCCTTGAGACACTGCGAGGCAGCCTGGCTTCATGAACAATCAGGAAACTGGGCGGCAGGTCATGACCCGCCGCCGTCTTCCTGATTGGTCAGGAAGCCAGACTGCCTAGCAATAAGCGAAGCCGGGTTAATAAACAATCAGGAAACTAGAAGGCAAGTCATAACCTGCTGCCCGGCTTCCTCATTGGCCCGGAAGCTGGCTCCATGCTCCCTCATGGCACTGCCGGTCAGAGGGAGATCTTCCTCTGACCGGAAGTTCCGGTATCTGAGCATTTGGGCGAGAACAAGTATACTAGTATTGGTCCATGCCTAAATTATACAATTTAAAATTGAGAAAATGGTGGTGACTTAATTCATGTTTGTCATGCTTTTATTAATCTGAACATAGAAAAACTTGCAAGAGTACAGAAATTCAATGGAGACTATGCCTTCCGACCAGACCTTAATTTAGATTCAGCAGAGGAATGGGAAATTGAGGTAGGTTTTACTTCTTTTTTTTTTCTTCTTCTAGATTTTGCATACCTTATTTATTTTTAAGGGCAGATTACTATCTCCCCATTTACTTCCTTGAACTCTGGTACAAGTGACTAGACATGTGACCAAGCACATCCTCTCAGGGAAGAAAAATGCCTTTCCCTGAGATCTCATGAGTTTACAGATGAGATTTCCCAGCAACGCGCTGCTGATGTAACCTTCCCAAGGTGCGAAGCTTTGGCACTTATATCATTTGTGCCAGAACTGGACCAGGAAGTAGATGAACAGTATGCAGGGGTCAGGAGTGTGTAATGCACAGTGTGCAGAGATCATCAGTATGTAACACACAGGAAAGTACAGAGTGCAAGGGTATTTGTAAGTAAATGAAAAACAAGTTTAATGAATGTAAGATTTTAAATCACCCTTTACCCCCCTTTTTTTTTAAATTCTTTATTTGGAGCCAACATTTTACAATAAGCATACAACATGTACACAATCGAGGGTTGCAAATGTAATAAGTAGACATATACAAATACATGTGTAATAAGTAAATCGCCTAAGTGGCTAATGGACCAGTAAGTAAGTGTGAACGAGGAGGCATAGGGCAGTGGAACATGGTAGAGCCTGTCAAGCGGGTCACTCACTGGGCCTTCCCTAAGGAGCCAGTTAAAGGAGGGAGATCATACAGAGTATGCTCTGCCCTCAGGGGAATCCATGTACTCCAACCAGTAAAACCATGTCCTAGAGTAGCGTTCTTGCCTACCTTGAGAGGACAGAATCATGTCTTCCATCACCCTAATCTCCTCCACTCTGCGTATCCACATAGATATTGTAGGGGTAGAGGGAGTCTTCCAAAGACTGGGGATGCAGGATTTAGCTGCATCCATCAAGTGGCGTACCACAGATCGGGCATAGGCCTTCCTAGACATAGGGATGTTGTGCAACAGGAAAATTGAGGGGTCCAGTGGTAAGTCAGATTCAATGAACTTCTTCACAATGTGGCGGTTAGCCCATACGAACCTTGCCAGCAAGGAGTTGACCTGGCAAAAATACCCGTTGGGGACCGAGATAGGTAGGGCTTGAAAAAGATACAGGAATTTTGGCAAAATAGTCATTTTGATGACATTACACCGTCCAAACCAGGAAAAGAAGCCGTTCTGCCAGCTGGAAAGGAGCGTGCGTACTTGTGCCAAGAGAGGTGGGAAATTGTAGGTAAATATATCCTTCACGAACGGAGGTATAAATGTGCCCAGGTATTTTAACGCTCGGGTCATCCATTGGAAATTAAAGCTATTCTGCAGGGATCGGGTAAGTGGAGTTGGGATTGAGATTCCCATGGCAGTGGATTTGCTGAAATTGATCTTTAGATTGGATAGCTCGCCATACGTTGCAAATTCCTGCATGAGGTTGGGAAGGGAGATTACCGAGTTGGTGAGAGAGAACATCAGGTCATCCGCATAGGCAGAAACTTTATATTCCGCAGATCCCTTTTTAACTCCAGTCACATCAATGTTAGACCTAACATGTCCAAGAAATGGTTCTAGAGATAGGGCGAATAGTAGCGGTGAAAGGGGGCAACCCTGTCTGGTTCCATTGGTGATTGGGAAAGGGTCCGACAGGACGCCATTTACTTTGGCACACGCCGTCGGGATGGAGTATACTGCCAACACCCAGGATAACATGTGTTCTCCCAGGCCTATACGTCTCAGAGTGGCGAACAGGAATTCCCAGGAGACCCGATCAAAAGCCTTTTCAGCGTCAGTAGACAGAAAAAGGCAAGGAATTTTGGATGTCGCTGCATAATGAACGAGGTGACAGGTCTTGATGGTGTTATCACGAGCCTCCTGAGCTGGAATGAACCCCACTTGGTTATAGTGTATAAGGTCAGGCATGTGAGGGCTCAATCTAGTCGCCAATATTTTGGTAAACAGCTTCAGGTCGGTGTTCAGGAGAGATATAGGACGATAGCTGCTACACGAAGATGGATCTTTTCCATCTTTTGGGATAACTGAAATATGGGCGGATAGAGAGTCTCTGGTGAGCCGAGAGGTGGAGGACAAGGCATTAAAAGCCTGTGTAAAGCCGGCCCGCCAGTACCGTGGTCATAAGCATATAGTATTGAGTTGTGAAGCCATCAGGGCCAGGCGATTTCCAGTTTTTCGTGGATTTAAGCGCAGCGGTAAACTCTTCCGAGGTTATGGGGGCATCTAGCGTATCCCTAATCTGCGCATCTAGAGAAGGTAGAGCGCTCGAGGATAGGTAGGAGGAAATCTTATCCTGTAAGGTGCTCCGAGGAATAGAGTCAGGTGTAGGATGCAGGTTGTATAATTTGGAGTAGTAATCTCGGAAGGCATTAGCTATAGCCTCCGGGAGTGACACTTTAGTTTGGTGGGATGTAACCACATGTGGTACGTATGAGAGCTGCCGTTGTTCCCTCAGGGCTCTAGCCAGAAGTCTCCCGCATTTATCCCCCGACTCATAATATTTTCTCCTACATCGTGCAAGCGCCACTTTTACCTTATAGGAGGTCAGTGAGTTTATCCGTTGGCGAGCGGATAGAATGTCAGCTAATAGTGTAGGCGAGCCGGTCGATTTATGTCGCAGTTCCAGGCCGTGTAGAGTATGCAACAGATCTAACAATTTGGCCTCCCTCCGACGCTTGACTCGTGTGCCATGCTTAATCAGGACACCCCTAATAAAGACTTTGTGTGCTTCCCAGAGAAGAACTGGGTCGCAGTTCTCTACGTCGTTGAGGTCAAAATAGGAGTGTAATTCTTTAGTGACATCATTCAGGATGAGTGGGTCTTGTAGGAGGCTGTCATTAAGGCGCCACTGCCACGAATTACGTGAAGGGTGGTCCGATAGAGTAATGTGCATGAAGACCGGGGCGTGATCTGACCATGTGATAGTGCCAATGTCTGTGGTGGTTATCATCGCTAAGTATTGGTGGGGAACAAAGAACATGTCTATTCTAGAGTACGTATCATGAGGTGTAGAATAGAAGGTGTAGTCTTTTACGGACGGATGTTGTTGACGCCAAGCGTCGACAAGCTGGGAGCGATAGAGAGAGCGAAGAATGCGTCTATTAGCTGTCGGAGAAAGTGAAGACGATCTCGAAGATGAGTTTAAGGATGGATCCAGCGTAAGATTGAAATCCCCTCCTAGAATCAAAACCCCTTCAATATAGGTCAGCAGCCTATCTAGAATACTCTCTAAGAAGCCCCCCTGATTGGAGTTTGGGGCGTAGATTGCCGCAAACGTGACCGCCGTGTGACCTATCTTGCCCTTAAGAAGCAGGTATCGTCCCTCAATATCAGTCTGGCAGTCTATAAACGTCCAGGGAACCAGCCGTGAAAGCACTACAGAGACCCCTCTGGATTTGGACGTCTCGTTGCAGGAGTGGTAGGAGAACGGGCCTTTACCCCCTTTTACCCCCTAGTAAAAGGGGGTGAAGGGCCACTTTAACGTATAGCTAACAATTACAAAATTATGACTGTAAAGAATGTGATTGTAAGCTTCATTCTACAATCAAAAATAGTTTACAGGTATGCTGTGTGCTTTTTATTGGGAATTACTTTCCATTGTTCTACATTTTTAATAAAAAATAAACATGCTGTTTTACATGAAAGCTATAGGGTTGTTCTTATGGCTAGATGTTGATTCACTGGATTATTATAAAATTTGGGAACTCCAGTGCTAGCATATCTCTGCCCCCCAGCCATGGAATTTGACTCCCATTATTGCGGAATCAGCATTCTCCATCATCCTGGTACAATTTCTGAAAAATCCAACATAAACAATTGAAACTGTCTTTTACTAGATTAACCCACGAGTATCTATTCTAAACTGAAATATAAGTTAGGATTGGGCTGACTCTTTATAGAACAGGTAGTTAAAAAATTAACCCTTGCAGTGGGGCTACCCCCACACGTGTCTCCGCAGCCTCTTCTCCCCCGGGCTCTGGCGTTCTAATAAATTATAATTATTCACGTTTTTGGACAACACCCAAATAATATCATGACAGCTGCAGTAAAAAAAGGAGGGAACTAAAATGTTCCTCCAATCAAAAATTATATATATATATATATACTGTATATGTACGCCGCGCTATCTCCTACATTCAAAACACTCCCTGTATATAACAAAGTAAGGGATTACATATGACAATAATCCTAAAAATACATTCAATTCAATATATTGAACAAAAAAAAAGTGAAAATGTGAATAGAAATGAATCAGTTCTTCTATCCAAATTAGATCGTATTAAACTAAAGTTCGTAAACCACCGTTGTGTGCTGAGATTGGTTTCAGCTGCAAATAAATTCTCCTTGTTCCACCTACGTGCAATCAATCTTTTAAGCCACTCACCAGATACTCCAATTTATACAAGTGATCGTTTACAACCTCCTCTACTCCTTTCCTTCTCTCCACCGAATCTCCATGGGTTAGCAGATTTTTTTCAATAATAATGCTTCATCCACTTCTTCTTTCCCTCTGAACATATCTCTCCACCAATTCCCAAATGATTGACTCATAAAACAATCAGGATTTTTGTACACTTATGTACAATTTCTGGCGTTCTAATGACTCATGAAATTATCACCTCTATGGATTCTATTTAGACATGAAGGCTAGCACTTAACCCTTGCAGTGCAAGGGTAGCCCCACTGCAAGGGTTCAGTTTTTTAAACTACCAAGAGTTAAAATGTTGCCTTTTATTTGTTGTCACCTGAACTACACACATACTGAATAGAAATGCCTAACTCTCCCACACCTAATGATTTGCAATATAAAGTTTTACATTTGAAGGATTCTCACAACCAAACCCAGAAAACACAGCGGGGGGGAATTTTTCAATCCCATCTCATCCTCTACATTCTTTAAACAGTCGCAATCATCAATTTAATTGCATTTTGCAACTAAGTTACTATTGTAGTGTTTACTGCATTCATGAATCTCTGGCAAAGATAACATTAACCACTTGAAGACCAGGGTGTTAAACCCTCTTTCCGGCCAGGCCATTTTTCAGTATTCAGCGCTGCCATACTTTGACGTTTTTTGGGGACACATAGAGCTTTCTTTTGTTTTTTACTATATAGCATAAAAGTACCCTACATTTAAAAAAAAAAAAAAAGTTTCCCTATGAAATGTTATGGAACATTTATTATCACCCTAGTTGGAAGCAAATTAATTAGATGATCCACACAGCTGCTGAGACTGCAGTTTATTGCCTCTCAGTCTGTACACATCTTTTCCAAATGAAACAAATGTATCCATTGGGCTGCTGACACTGTATTTAGAGTGGGAGGGGGCGTATCGGTGCCATTCATGCCGCAGACAAAATGGTGTAAGGTGTATGGGTAGTGTGCAACCGCCAGTACTGTACAATTGTATGACTTTTGTCTTTCCTGCATGTTCGGAAACTTCAGTCGATCGTGCGATTTTCGCAAGGTTGGTGGCGTTTCCGTACTTCAAAAGTCGTACGATTAACACTGCTCATGCGCAAACGAAAATATGTGCGATCGATTACCGCAATTTGTCCAGGTGTTTTTTTAAACTACTGCTGATTGAACCTTGCG